TTTAAAGGCCGACCTACTTTTTGTAAGAGTAAGGGTCAAATAAGTAAATGTAGTAAGTATAATAGGTAGAAAATTTAAATTTGATTCTATAGAAGAAATTGAATCTAACTCAAAACCCACACCGCCCTCGAAATAGGATTTCATTGGCGTATGAAGTTAATTGAAAGTGGGGGAGGGTGGGTAAGTGTAAGAATTTTTTTTAGACCTTCAAAAAAAAAAAAAAAACCTGACAAGCAAAAAAAAATGTCCATTTTCCAAACACAAAAATCCTATTTCGTGAGGAGGGGTGGGGTGGGGGTGGGTTGAAGGTTCGAACTCCAGTGCCAAAGTTTTTTTCCCAAATACCACCACTTTCCCCCATTTTAAACCTTTACTGCATCGTGTCCATGGGAAGTGGGGGGGGGGCTAAACCTAAACCTACGCAGGAATGTTCAATGTCTATACTAAGTCTATCTTTGGAAAGAAGTGGGGGCTAAGCCCCCCTCCCCCCTCCCCGGTTCCGACGCCTATGTATTTTCAAGTTTGGACAATTTCCTGTGGTTTATTTTGCGCTTGTCAAGTTGTTTTCAGCCGGGTGGCTTGAATATTTATTCTCTTGTTGCCCCCCTCCCCACTTTCAAAAAAGATGCTACGTCACTGTTCTCTCGCCTGAAAAATAATATAACTCTACTTAAAGTTATTTGTTGGATATTTGAATTACAGTTTAATTGTTATAAAAATGTTAAATATTTTGATACTAGTTAACCCTTATAAATTGGGTTGTTTTTCAGAACCTTCTACTGAACTGAACTTTATTTCACGACAGATAGTAACTGCATGCTAATGCGCATGATTCTAGGGACAGGGCTTTGCAAAAGAGTGAGGAGCGTTATGGGTAAGCAGGCGCGGATCCAGAATTTTTTACCAGGGGGGAGGCAACCAAGTTAAAAAAAAATCCAATCCCAGAAATTTCTTGACAAGCATAAAAAGAAGAAAAAACCTATAAACTAGCTCAGACGTCAAAATTCTATTTCGTGGGAGGTGGGGTGGGGGTGGGGGTAACTTTTTTCCTTCTTTTAGTAACCTTGTTAATTCCAGGGGGTCCTACCCCCCTCTAGATCTGTGCATGGAAGGCGAAGTCTGAACCAGACTACATGCACCAAGGCATACTTGAAATACCCTTTTCTTTTTTTTCTGCGTTAATATTTTATAATATTATTTTTATCATTTATTCCCAGCTCTCTGATTGGCTCAAACTTGATCACATGATTTAGTATATAACAGCATAAAGACTTGAGTTACTATTTATAGAATCTGAAATGTATATCGACTTGAGGTTTCTTAAAGTGGAGATAATTTCCGTGAAACAAAATAGTACTGTATTCAGTCAAAGCTAATACAGTGTATGATTTGATGTTTCTAGAAAAAAAATATTTATTTCAACTTTTACTAACTTTTTTTCAATGTTCTGTATTTGATGAGACAAAAGAAGGCATTGGATTAGGATTACTTCATATTAATTAAGACATATTCGATATGTGTGTCAAATATTGATACAAAACTTAATCAAATAAATGAAGTATTCTGAATAAGTAAATCGTCTAAATCACTCCATCAATATAAAGGAAACGCATTTACATTAAACGGTGTAATTTATTTTGATCTCTAGTCTCTAATTGTTAAAGGGAGAAAACTTTTCCAATTATTTTCATAATTTGTTTTGTTAATCTATGTAAAAAATAATATAACAAATGTAGCCCTTTAATTCGGTCAATCCATATGGATTGACCTCATCAAAGGGCTATATTTATATATTAAAATAGCACTTTTCAATAAAGAAAGAAATATCTTTAGTACGCACCGTGTTTGTCATCAACCGGGAGAGCCAAAAAATCTTAAAACTCGAAAATTCTATTTGGTGGTGGTGAAGGGGGGGGGGGGGTTGTCAACTTTTTTCAGTAATAAATTTTACTCATATGCCACTAAGTACATGACTTTAAATATATAGAAGACTATTAGCACTGCAACAAAAAGTGTAAGGGATAAGGGATGGAGGGCAACAAGCCTTTCGCTGAATTTTTCCCGTAATAAAAAGTTACGTTTAGGAAAATGTTTCTTGGCCACCCTCCCCTCTACCAATGAAACTTACCCCATAGGAGGTCGTCCACCCGGAAGTCAGTATATATTGAGACTTTGGTGGTGTGATTGTACATTATATAATTTTCTTTTCGAGAATTTTTCTTTCAAATGGAGAAGCCAGCTCTTGCCGGTGGAGAGCTGCAAATTTGTTCTATATACTCGGCACTTGTAGCCATTGAGCAGGGAGGGATCTTTTTTCGTGCCAGCACCTACTGCGACACGGGACCTCGGATAATACGGTCTAGATCTCATCCGAAGGACCGAACTCCACATCCTACAGTGAGTTTCGAACCCACGACGTGTTGGTCGACTCCTTACTACTGTACTTCGTGACTCTATATAGAGCAGACGCCGTAACCACAGTGCCACGCGGGCGACTGCATCCAAGGGGGGGGGGGGGAAGAGTCATTATCCATATGTACTCGTGAAGATTATCTATTTTTAACTAAATGGTTAAAATGATTTAATTATAAAACACTATTAAAATGATATTATTTAAATATTTATTCATATAGAACCAGGGACCTATATACTAGTATATAGATCCCTGATAGAACGGATAAGTTTTCTTCAAAAAACTGAAAACGTTAGTATACTAGTATATAAACATTGTTTTACGATTTAAAAAAAACTATTCGGGGGAGGGGTTGCTAGGAATGGGGGCGAATTGCTATATATAGCGAGGTTTCCCACGGAAGACTAGCTATATATTGAAACTTCCCCGGGGGGAGACACACTGTATAGTTTTCGAAGGAAGCATCACTATGTTGTCAGTCTTCCAGGGGAAATCTTACCATCTAGCGAGACTTCCAATGGAATGGCATGTATCGGGTACATACCTGGACTTATAACAAACATCAGTCTTTAAAACATTTAAGTTTGATTAATAAATTATTAAGGCAGAAAATTGAAAAAAAAAACTCGAAAAACCCCGGCACGGGTTTGCTTACCTAATTTTACCAACACTTTTAGCGAACACCCCTGCCACCTAGCGTTATAATGCGGCACTAAATTCGGATAACTTGTATTCGTCTTCATTGAATATGCTTCATTGTTTGCGTGATTGAGTTAACGTTCGTAATAGTTATAATCATTTAAGAAACTGTATCAATTTAAAAGAAAGTGAAATGAATTTACAAGAATAAAGCAACATAGAAGTAAGGGCAAAATGAAGAGGGATAAAAATCAAAGTGAAATTTAATAAAGACGAATATGAAAACATTAAAGTGACATATAATTACAATAATAACAAAGAATATAAAGAAGTAGGCAGAATAAGAATAAAAGCAAGATACATAGACTTTTGGCGGTAATTCCCTTCCATAAACTTCAAACGATAAACGTGATGACTTTAGCTTTTCAACCGTCAGCTTCCCTTATACTTGTGTAGCAATATACCCTTACCACCTGCTAATGAGGTCTATGCGTCCAGATTGATTCGATACACAAGAGCACGTTCTAACTAAGAACAATTTCTAAAAAGTAGCAAGCTATTGAAAAACAATTTGATGAAACAGGGATAACAGTCTCATTTTGCAAGTTCTATGGTCATTATAATCGTCTTTCAGCAAATGCAATCTGACATTATGGCGAATGTTGAATGACTTTTTTCGTTACAATTGTTAGTTTATTATTTTCACTGAATCGTCTACGGCTTTGTCAGTTTGCCCGATCATGACAAGAAGCACACGGCGGGGGGTGACCGGCCATGATCAACAGAAGATGTTTACTCCTACATGGCAGCTGATCCTACTTTTGATATCTTTTAGTGGTCCGTTTTTGCTTTGCTTCAAATTTGAATATTGGTGCATATTTTGTTCCAACTTTTTACGATTACATTTCAATTTGTTCTGAGCCTAAAGGCATGTTATGTCGGGTGGGGGAGGTGGGGGGCTGTACACTTTTAATTTTTCAAAGAAAGATTTGTTATCCCCCTCCCACATTTTTTAATTTGTTGCATTAGAGTCAAATCAGAATAATTCGGTAAAGTATGTGTGAAATCTAGTTGTCAAAGACGGTAGAACTTTGACACCCTCTATTCCAAATATAGGATTTCAACATTTTTTGTCAAAGTTTTTTTTTTCTGGCTGCCCTCTCTCCTCATTTTAAAGGCAATTCAGTAACTATACGTTCGTGGTCGATATTCTGATACACGTAAAGTTCTGCAGAATGACCTTTTTATTGAAAATAAAAATAAAGTACATTCATTTTACAAAAACAGATACAATGTAAGTTTAAGTTAGTTATCTTGTAGCATTAGTATATATTTAATTGACTATTGGACTTAAAATAATAAGTTCGACAACATCGTTGACGTATTCAAACCTTCCTGTTTGATGCGACATAAGATTAAACTTCTGCAAGTTCCTTTCTGTTCAACTCTCGGATTTTAATGTATTTTTATACCATACACAATAAGCTTTGAAAATGTTAAATTTGTGAAAATTCTGTCGAATAAAAAATATTCCTATTTATGACAAGAACGGTTACATACTGAGAATTTAAATAATTACTTTGTTGTGTGCAGTATGTTTTTAATAAAATTAATTATTTGGTAGATTATCATATACTGTAGATACTTTAAAGAAAGCAGATATTTAAAATGCTAATCATAATTCATTAGGCTAGCTCACTATCGTCTGTGTTATTTAAATATTTTAAAAATAATACCTATCAAGACATCTTCACGTTTATTGAAAAACAGCTGATTTACATTCTAGATTTTTCTATTGCGATCAAAGGTAGGTAACTCTCATAAATTTTACAACAAGGAAGTCACTATAAATTGTATGGAGCAGCGTTAGGGGAATGAATAATATCAGGATTTCCTTTTTATTGCACAAGTCCGGTAACCTGCAAATTTAGCATCAACACAAACAGAGAAAATACCATTTACACTTGCAAATCAAGACATGCAAAGGACTAGACAGACTGGAAATTCAAGGTTCTTTATGCATCGTTAAGCCGTACCCATTATATTTTTTTGCAGGACTAATGCTCCGTCGGTAAACTTGTAAATTTCTTCTTTCGGTTTGTTCGTTTCAGGAAAGAAACCCAGAATGAGCGGAACTAAGGTAGAATGTTTTGTTTATGTTATTAATTAAATCAAGTAGTTATAGTAGTAACAATACTCATGAACAAAACGTGCAAAAAATGTGACAATGTATTTAATTTTCTACTTTCCAGCTTCGGCAGTGATAGTTATCTATAGGTCGATATCAATGATCTATAAAATAATGCGTCTCCAAGTTTAAATTTTATTTATTCTATTTCGATCAGAGATCATTTATTGTAATTATTGTGAGAATATCAGAGTATGTAAAATGCATTATGGGTTGTTAAATCATAATATAATAAACTTTAAATTTTTTATATATCTGTTATTGTTCAAAACGAAAGTGCTTTATCTAAAATATAAATATAATCGATTTCACTCCATATAAAGTTCACAAAATAACCGTAAGGAAGTTCGTCAGAAATTTCCACCACTTTAGACGTAACTATATAGTCAATGGTATTTTGGTCGACTTATTCTTCAGTATTGTATTGCTGACCTTAATTTAAATTTCAGAGAATTAAATGTCGACCAGGTCATATAAAAATAGGTTTTTTTTACTAGGCTGGCGGATCATTATGGAGTGTTTAAACTTTTGTGTGAATTTAGAAATTTAAATTTGCTTCAAATATTTGCAAAAAATAAAAATAAATAAATAAAAGGTTTTCCCTGAGCATTGCACACTCTAGAGATAAACCAATGTGCACGTCTCTCAAAACAAATAAAGATTACGTTCCGATAATGTACAGGTAGCAGATATTTGAGAAAAAATACCGGTACATGTGTTTATTTTAGTGTCACGTCTAATGTGGCTAAAGATTTGCGATTTTTTCCCCAGTTTTATTTTTTATCATCTTATTTTATCTTATTTTGTATCACGAAGACCCGAAAACAACGTATTTATTCACAAGTCTGTTTTAAAAATTTATGTTATAATAAAGATAAGAGAAGGAAATAGTTCCCATCCTTTTGAGAGAGAGAGAGAGAGAGAGAGAGAGTCCTTAATGTAAACTTTTCTCTGTGCGGATATGGAGATAACAAACAGTATTCAATATCAAAGTCCATAGAACAATACAAAGTAGGAGCAGAGCATACACGGAGCTCCGAAACATCAGAGGTGGGATCAGGTGCCATGGAGGAGTGAGCATTCCCTGCCGACCGGTCACACCCGCTGTATGCTCCTTGTCATGATCGGGAAATAACGGAAAAATCCGTCGTTAATTCAGTGTATAAAAATGGACAATAATAACAGCTTTTGCCAGTTGTGTATATTTTATTTGTGTTTGATATGTGTTTGAAATTGTATAATTGATTTTACAGGAAATGAAGGAAGAAGGAGAGTTTCAAGTTCATGTCCTGTTTATTGAGGTAGTTCCGGGGTTTGTTTATTTGTTTTAACATTGACTCTCTATATATAAACAATAAAATTTACGTAAAAAATATCGAATACATAAACTCATTTATTGCTTACCAAGTAATAAATACAGATATATTTGCATACGCTAAAAGTTGATATTTTATAATCAAAATAATGAAAGAATGGACGATAAAAGTTAATTAGAACTACTGATGGATTACTTCTTAGAATCCACATTTGAAACCCATTCCTGATTTTCTGGAGAATTGTAAACGCTATAAAGAGGAACTTAAGTTGGACAATGATTTGGAGGAAGCAGAGAGAGAATATCGAGTTCTTCTGCAGAAAGCCAAGAGGCCCGAGTATTCGGTATTGTCTTACTTACATGTAGCTTCTAACTGATATTTTTATACAAACAAATTGAAATAAAAATCTTGGTGGAAATGCGTGGTTTCTCTATTTCATACGATTTTTTATTCAGAAAATTAATTTTACAACACATTATCTGTACTTTTCTCTCCATACAGAAAACTAGACCTCATTACGAACGAAATCTTTTTGACATCGAGAGAAGAAGTCAAGCACCAACCCTCTACGATGTTTTAAATATTGTCTCCAAAAGATGTGCTTATACCAAGTGGAAAAAAGCCATGTCGGAATTCATTGGATTGACGCCTATCCAGACGGAGCCAAAGAAAAAGGTACCCATCGATCATTTTTTAAAATATCTACGGGGGTTGTCCGGAAAAGTCGTAGACAGGGAAAACAGTTTAGTTTCTCTTTGCTAGATTAAATTTCTGTCCTTGTCATAGCAAAAAGTAACATTTTATGATCATTCATTTCAAGTTTCATTGTGATTTCACATTTAATAAGAAAATTATGAAAAAATGAAGAATGCATGCAAGTGTACATCGGCGCAAGCAACCGTAATTTACGTCTCTTATAATCTTATGATCTCTTTTTCTGCTTCACGCGCGTCTGTTAACATTCAATATTTTTTTTTATACTAATTTTAAAGTGAAAGGCCACTCTTGTCTAAGGAACTTATTTCAATTCACTTCTGTTGTTTTTTTTTTTTTTTTTTTTTTTTTTTTTTTGCAGATTCAAATTTCAGTCGAAATTTAGTCGAAAATCAACGCCTTACACTGTAGGCAGCAGATAATACACGTTGAGTGACGTCGTTTGTGGCCCAGATTGGTTCCCATTGTGTGCGTTTAAAGGCCCTTTCACAATTCGCGCACGAGCACTTTACAATACTTTGCGATCGAGAAATTTTAGCTTCGTACGAGCTCTCGCCGAGCTCTCGCATACGTTGCACGATATTTCGCATTCGTTGCATGCGTTTTATTGGTCGCATCAAGTCTCCTCAAAATAGTCGACATGCACACTATTCAGACGCGACCAAATGCGATCCACATTTACCGCAATTCAACGCACGAATATTAGTACGACCGTCTTGCAACGTTTTGTGTACTCGCAAGAGTGATGCACGATTTTTAAAGGTCGTAAGATGAATTGCAGCTGTATATGCGTGTGTTGTGCGATCATGAGACTGTTGCTCAACGTGTCTCATGTAATCTTGCAACGTTTAACTATGCACGATTTATCAGCTTCAATTTCCCATGCTTTGCCACTAGTATATGTAAACCCTTTATAAGCATCTCTGTTTCAGACCACAATTGACCATGGATACTGCTCCACTAAAAATACAAGCTCAGGCGGATTATGAACAGGGCTCGGCTGCTGCGGCAGGTCCTTAGCCTCCTCCTCCTGGGCCTTTTTCTACGGTTTACCTTGGCTTTACCTGTAGCTTTTGTCATCTTTTTGAAACACATCTCTTGCATTCGACTAACGAGGGTTGGAAACAGGTAGAAAATATATATTCCCCTTCTAACTCGCACGATCATTCGTACCATGAAACACATGATTGCACGATCGCCTTACGTCCAGTTGCATTGGTGCACGATCAATCGTCCGATCACCTGATCACTCGCGCGATCCTTTAGCATTATCTCACAACACTCACTTTCATTGTACAACAGTCGCATATAGACGCAAGATATATCGTAAGATTTAATGCACCACGGTCGCTTTAGATCATGCGAATTTCGTATGAATACTTTTTCCATATGCGATTATTTCAGCAACAGTTTACGATCCAAATCAAAGATTATCGGTCGCTTTTGCTCGTGCGCCAGTTGTGAAAGGCTCTTAACAAACAGTACTTCACTTCTTACATGCTTTAACTAGTTTCGGTATAAAGGAAACACTCTCATTGAATCTCATGCCATTTAAAAATAACTTCATTTAACGTGTACTGTCACATTTGTACTCTTTTTTCCCTGTCTCCTAATGTATAAAAACCATATCCAAAACATTTTGTTACATCTCTGTGCGCCGCTTAGGACAACCCTCGTATCTAATTTGTAAGCAAAAAGAGGTTGTTTTTTTCCAAATGTAACAGTGTATCATGGTTGATGAGTAAAAGTAAAAAAAAAACGCCTCTTCTAGGGATAAATTTTACCTTTTAGGCTGGACAAGAAAAAAAGAGAACAATAAAAATGATTTTTCGAAAAAAAAAAAAATAATATAAATAAAATGTAATACAAACACAAAGATAAAATTTTCTGCTATACCATCGTTTATA